CCCAAAATGTTATGCCCAGATTTCAAGATCCCCAAAGACCACCAGGGAACCAAGTCCGATGCAAAAGCAAAGAGCCTTTATTTAAGCTCAAGCTCGGTCTCTCCGCTTCTACCAATGCAATGGCAGGATGTAAGAGAGCCCCGAGCTTCAGGAGAACAAAGAGTTTATAGGGCTTGGGGTCAGGAGGTGGGGTGATCTCGGACCACTGAGTTGGCCGATTCTGATTGGTTGGGTGGGGGCTAGGGTCTATTGACACAAAGGCAGGATGCGGCCAGGGTCCAGTTACACAAAGACAGGATGTGGCTAGCATATTTCTGGCCTTAGGTTAGTTCCTCTTGCATTCCAATTGGCTGATTTAAGGGGGTGAGGGAAGCAGGGTTAAGCAACTGGTGCATTCTGTGGCTTTTCTTGGAAAAAGGTCATGTTGGGGACATAGTTACACAAGATGGAGGATACAACACAAAATGGAGTTAGTCCTTCTTTGCCCTTTCAGCCTACCTTAAAAAACAAGAAAAAAGTTTAATAAGTTATCTAATTCTACAATTTAAAGAATTAGAGAACAAGAATAGCCCAGAGTAAGTAGAAGGAAGGAAATAATAAAGATCAGAGCAGAAATAAATGACATAGAGACAAATAAATAAATAAAACCAAGAGCTGGTTCTTTGAAAAGATAAACAAGATTGATGAAACTCTATCCAGACTCATCAAGAAACAAAGAGGACAGAAATAAACAAAATCAGAAACAAAAGAAATGAAGTAATAAATGATCCCAGAGAAATACAAAGGATCATAAAAAACAAACAAACCTATGAACGACTACATCCCAACAAACTGGACAATCTGGACAAAATGGATATATTCCTAGAAAAATACAATCTTCCAAAACTCAACCAGGAAGAATAAAAAAAAAACCCACCTGAGTAGACCCATAACTACTGATGAAATTGAAGCAGTAATTTAAAAACTTCCAGCAACAAAAGCCCTGGTCTGAAAGGCTTCACAGGGAAGTTTTACCAAACAGTCAAAGAAGAACTAACACCTATCCTCCTCAAAGTACTCCAAAAAATTCAAGAGGAAGGAATACTTCCAAGCTCTTTTTATGAGGCCAGCATTACACTATTTCCAAAACCAAATAAACTATATCCCTTATGAACATAGATGCTAAAATCCTCAACAAAATATTAGCGAATCGGATCCAGCAATACATTAAAAACATCATACACCATGACCAAGTGGGATTTATTCCAGGGATGAAAGGCTGGTACAATATTTGCAAACCAATAACTGTGATACATCACATAAACAGATTGCAAGACAAAAATCACATGATCAGCCACTGTTGTTCAACATAGTACTGGAAGTCCTAACCATAGCAATCAGACAAAGGAAAAAATAAAAGGCATCCAAATTGGAAAGGAGGAAGTAAAACTGTCATTAAAGGCAGATAACATGATGTACACAGAAAACCCTAAAGACTCCATCAAAAAACTACTAGATTTGCCCTAGCTGGTTTGGCTCAGTAGATAGAGAATCAGCCTGTGGACTGAAGGGTCCCGGGTTTGATTGCGGTCAAGGGCATGTTCCTGGGTTTCGGGCACATCCCCAGTAGGGGGTGTGCAGGAGGCAGCGTGGACTGTGAAGGGTCTTGGGTTCGATTCCCAGTCAGGCAAATGCCCAGGTTGTGGGCTCAATCCCTAGTGGGGGGTATGCAAGAGGCACCTGATCAGTGATTCTCTCATCATTGATGTTTCCCTCTCTCTCTCTTCCTCTCCCCTTCCTCTTTGAGATCAATAAAAACATATTAAAAACAAACAAACTCCTAGATTTGGATGTAAGGGCAATCTGGCTGCAATATCTGTCACCCCATTAATCCCCAGGGTTGATTTGGCTGATCTGGCTGACTAGGTGGGTGTCCCCCTCCTCCCGCACCAATCCATGTGCGTCCCTCCCGAAGCTGTGTGCTCAGTTGAAAAAGACTTGCTCAGTGAGAAAAGATGACCTTTGCTCCAGAGGACAGGACCTGTCTTTGCTCAAGAGTATAAGAGAAGCTGCTTTCCCCTGCTAGAACCTCCAAACAATCTCTCAAAAAACTACTAGATTTAATAAATAAATTTGGCAACATAGCAGAATACAAAATTAACACCCAGAAATCTATGGCATTTTTTTTTACACCAATAATGAACTCTCAGAAAGAGAAACTAAAAAATAAACAACCATTTACCACTGCAACAACAACAAAAAAAAATTAAGAAACTTGGGGTATATACTTAACCAAGGAGGTAAAAGACCTATACTAGGAAAAATAGAAGACAGTGAAGAAATTGAAGAAGATACAAATAAATGGAAGCAAATACCATACTCCTAAATAAGAAGAATTGACATAATTAAAATGCCCATACAACCCAAGGTGATCTATTCAGTGCAATTCCTATCAAAATACCAATGACGTTTTTCACAGGACTAGAACAAGTAATCCAACATTTCGTATGAATCCACAAAAGACACCAAACAGCCATAGCTATCCTGACGAAGAAGAACAAAGTAGGTACATGCAAAAAGATGAAACTAGACCACCAACTTATACCATACACAAGAATAAACTTGAAATGGATAAAAAACTTAAATGAAGTTGTGAAACCATAAAAATCCAATAAGAATCCATAGGCAGCAAAATCTCAGACATCTCTCATAGCAATGTTTACAGATACTTCTCCTAGGACAAAGGAAACTAAGGAAAAAACAAACAAATGGGACTATATCAAAATAGAAAACTTCGGGACAGTAAAAGAAACCATCAACAAAATGAAAAGGGAGCCCACTGTATGGAAGAACATATTTGCCAATGATACATCCAATAAGGTGTTAATTTTAATATATAGGGAACTCATACAACTTAAGAGAAGGAAGACAATCCAATTAAAAATGGGTAAAGGACCTAAATAGAGACTTCTCCAAAGTAGACATACAGAAAGCCAAGAGACAAATGAAAAAATGCTCAAAGTCACTAATCATCTGAGAGATGCAAATTTAAATACACTGAGGTATCACCTCACACCTGTCAGAATGGCTATCATCAACAAACTACAAGTGTTGGCGAGGATGTGGAGAAAAGAGAACCCTTGCATACTGCTAGTGTGAATGCATATTAGTGCAGCCATTATGAAAACAGTATTGCGTTTCCTCAAAAAATTAAAAATGGAACTCTCATTTGACCCAGTGATTCCACTTCTAGGAATATATGAAAACAGTGCGTTTCCTCAAAAAATTAAAAATGGAACTCTCATTTGACCCAGTGATTCCACTTCTAGGAATATATCCTAAGAAACCAGAAACACCAATTAGAAAGGATATAGGCACCCCTATGTTCATACCTGCACAATTACAATAGCTAAGATTTGGAAACAGCCCAAGTGCCCATCAGCAGATGTGTGAATAAAAAAGTTGTAGTACATCTACATAATGGAATACTACTGTAAAAAGGAAAAAACTCTTAGCATTTCCAACAGCATGGAGGGACCTGCAGAGAATTATGCTAAGCGAAATAAGCCAGTCAGAGAAAGGTAAGTATCACATGATCTCACTCATATGGAATCTAATGAACAAAACAGACATAGAAGCATGGAACAAACTGGAATCTCAGAGGCAATGGGTGGGGGGGAATAGAAAGAGATCAACCAAAGAACTTGTATGCATACATGTAAAACCCATGGACACAGACAATAGGGTAGTGAAGGCCTGTGGGTGGGCTAGAAGAGGTCAATGGGGGTGGGGAAGGGGGTATGTAGTACTTTCAACAATAAAGACTTAAAAAAGGTGTGTGTGGGGGGGAGAGGGGGAGATTCAGGTTGCCTTTCTGCCAAAGAACTTGAACTGCCTTCATTTATATTCTCTTTCCATTTTAATGTGGCTGGAGGGGCTAGAGATGGAGGAATCAAAAGCATTGCTATTAACAGTCCTTTTTAACAACAACAAAAAAAGGAGTATCATATCTCCTCAGCAGCAAGGCCGACTAGAACCTGTAGCCATCCCCCCCCACCCCACCCCCTGCTTTCACGTCCTGCGTGGTTCAGGGTTCGGGTCTGGAAGAGGAGCCGCACAACAAATGAAAAAGAAAAGACACGAGATAATTTGGGAATATTGGGGGACCAGGCGAGCAAGTCCAACTCAAGAGGAAGGACTTCCACTGTGCTCAGGCCTCACCAAGCTTTTATAGTGAGCGGTAAACAAGGTAGTGGTTACCATGTTTACACTGTTTTTGTGAGTTTCACTTGTTTACACCATGGTTATACTTCCTGCATTTCCTCAGCCCATTAGCTTCCCAGATAAGATCTAGGGAGTGTTATAAGGTCAAGCCTAATTATGCTAAGAGGACTGTGCCCTCTAAGCCAGGAATTGTTTGTGACTTTGCCCACAGGTCAGTCCGAGGCTTAACCTATATCGGCTCCCTACATCTCCGCACTTTATCTGGAAGAATAACTTAACAAATGCTATTCTAGTTTCATGCAGAAAGCGGAGCTGGCACTCCTCTCGACTGCTGACATCATATTAATTTTAAAATTCTGGTCTCTCAAAAGCGTGTTTCCCTCTGGCGATAATCCACTCAGCAGAAAGTAGGATGAGAATGGGGACCGGGCAGATTCCCTTTCACTTGTCAAGGATGCACAAGTACTCCCGGAGCACTTGATGCTAAAGAGAGTCTGTACTGTGGCTCAAGTGGGGTAGGCAACATCCGCAGGTTCACGCTGCAGTGAGACGGAGATCATGGTCACCGGCCAGGAGTGAGGGCGCGGGCAGAGGTCGGAACCCGGCCTGGCCCGCTCAGGTGGACCGAGGGCACCGGGACGTAGGAAGGTGACCGCGAAGCATGCGAGAGGTGCCGGGCCTGGCTCGACCGCCCTGAAACGACTTGGGAGGCAAAAGGCACCCAGGTCGACATGCTGCCCAGTTGCGGGCGCTTCCCCCGGCCCCGGCCCCTGTCCAGGAGCAAGCAGAGCACTCACCTGACGCACGCACTCTCACCTTTTCAAAGCCGTCAGGCCAGAAGTCAGGTCTCAAGCGCGGGCGTTAACTGCCCTGGACGAACGCTCCCGGGCCTCGTGGGCCGTGCCACCGGACTACAACTCCCAAGATGCACTACGACGGCTGGACGCCGTTTCTCGTCACGTCGACAGATATCCCAGCCAATAGACAGGAGAGCCTGCCCTCGAAGATCCAATCCCTCTGCGAAGAAGGCGGCTCTCCCGTGGCGTAGTTCCTCCGCAGTCTGTGGGCGTGTCTGCGGCGAGAGGTGCTGCCCCGCCTCCAGCCCTGGCTCCCGGTTTTGGTTTCCTGATACTGCGTGAGGTGAGTCCGCTGCTGGTGGGCGCGGGATACAGCCAGTCGGTGACGCTGCCTTCCCAGGGGCCAGCCCGGGCTTGTAGGCGGCCGCGAAGTTGAGCCGCGCCCGGAGTGCGGGAGCTTTGTCAAGCCCGGGGCCAGCTGGGGCGCGGAGCCCGAGCGGGGCTTTTTCGGAGGCCGGAGCGGCTGGGCCTTCGGAGCTTCTGGGACGAGCCACCCCCGGGTCTCCGACGCCTCTGCTCGCAAGTAGGCGGCCTTCGCTGACTCCCACCCCCGGCGCACGCGGCCTCCTCGGATCACCCCGTGGCGGCGGGTGAGCTGCTGGAGGTCTCCTGACCAGAATTCGGGACAGCCGGTGCCGGTGTCTGACAGCTTGAACTTTTCCTAGGTCATGCTGCGCGTTTCTTCTGAAACTTCGGGCGCTCATCGGTGAAATAAAAGCAGTATTTCCCCACAGTTTCCTCTGAGGATTTTCTGACTTTTCTCCTTCACAAGATAGTTCTAGAAACTATCGGAAAGACAGACGCTTCCACTCCAAGGGACTGTGTTGCCTTCAGGAGTCTGGAGTCAAGGCCAGTGAATGAGAAGGGCCTGTCTGCATCCTGTCCTCCACATCTTCAGGAGAACCTCGTTTCTAGCGTTTAGAACGACTTCTCCAGGGCTATGATCCCTCAGGCTTGAGCTGTTTGCGAGGAGAAAAAAAAGCTGTCTCTTGAGCCCCAAAATGGCAGCTAAGATGGAGATAACGCTGAGCTCTCAGTCCCACATTCAGGCTTCTTCCAAGCAAGAGAGACACATCATAGCAAAGCTAGAAGAGAAGCGGGGGGCGGCCCTGCAAAAGGACTGTCCCAACCCTGAGGCCTCCCGCCAGAGCTTTAGGCGGTTTTGTTATCAAGAGGTGTCTGGACCCCAAGAGGCACTCTCCCGGCTCCGGCAGCTCTGCCGGCAGTGGCTGCAGCCCGAGCTGCACACCAAAGAGCAGATTCTGGAGCTGCTGGTGCTGGAGCAGTTCCTGAACATCCTGCCCCCCGAGATCCAGGCTCGGGTCAGGCATCGATGTCCAATGAGCAGCAAGGAGATGGTGACTCTGGTGGAAGATTTTCACAGAGCAGCCAAGAGACCAAAGCAGTGGGTAAGGAGGGTCTTCTTTGATGGTCCATGGGATGTTTCTTTTTTCTTCTCCATCTGGATAATGTGTGGTTTCTGGGCCCTCCCTAATCAGAGCCCAGAAATGGACCAGATGGCTTCCAACATGTTTTCTGGCCTCTATTTTGGGAACATTTCCCCTACCCCCAGATGTACCAGGTTTTCAGAAAACCCACCCATGGGCGCTTCCATGACAAAGTGGAGGATCAAGTAAGGTTATTGAGCCTTTGCTGACAGATCTCCCCTCCCTTCCTTTTGAAGGTTTCCTACCATCAGGATTCTTAGTAGATAGCGTAATCCTGTTGGGTAGGAATTTGATTTATGAGGAATTTCACTGAACCTTGTTCTAGTCAAGTGTCTTGCATATTGCCTTTGGATCAGGAAGTCACAGCTCAGTTGGCAAGTATCCCTTTCAACCCTCACCCTCAAAGTCAGACCAAAGCTGGACCCTGACCAGGAAGCAAACAACCATGTGCTTTGGGGAATGGAAGTAGTTAGGGAACAGGAGTGGGGCAGTCCTCTTAGAGCCTTGGGCAGAACAGTTTATTAGGTAAAGGTGGTTTTTAATGGCCCTTACTACACTGCTTCCCAATTCTACAGAACCTGTTTTTAGGAGTAGTAGGGAGGCAGGTGGGCATAGGGTGGGAATCATGACTGACCCTGTTGTCTGCGCCTGCTCTTTAGTGACTTTGATTCCAGGCCTTGAGCAAGACACAAGCTTTAGGATTCTCCACTCAAGAAGTATTGGCTGATTTGAAGCAGCCTCATTCTGGTCATTTTCCATGTCCTTACCTGTGTTTTCTTTGAGAGTTTCAGCGATCTCTATCAAAGGTGACCTCCAGTCCATTATCAGGAATTCCCAGGGTCAGGGGTCCTTACAGAGCAGTGAGAGGTCAAGCTGCCCGAGTCAGTCCTCTGGCTGCACTCTAATGCATGGGGCTTGTTCCTAGGTGGCTGTTTGTATGCAGGGGCAGAAAGTGCTCTTGGAGAGAACTGGATCTCAGCTTGGAGAACAGGAACTGCCAGACTTTCAACTGCAAACTCCTAGGAGATATCCTAGGGAAAACTGTTTGGAGGAGCCTTTCCAGGCAGGACTTCAGGACCAGTTTAGCCCCCATCAGTGGGAAAAATCCCCACTCCTTCTGGAACCAGCCACCAAATTGGCTGGGACAGGTAAATGCTCTGTGCCTCCTCTCTCCTTCTCATCAGTCTTCATCTCCATCAAAGCATTCATGGTTCTGAAAAGCCATAGACGAGATGATGTTTTTTTTAAATGTTGTATGTAATTGTAGATCTTTATGCCTGAAAAAATTTCACTGATTAGAATGGTAGTGGTATTCCAGCTGGTGTGGCTCAGTGGTTGAGCATCAACCTATGAACAAGGAGGTCACAGTTCGATTTCCAGTCAGGGCACATGACCAGGTTCCAGGCTTGATCTCCAGTGTGGGGCATGCAGGAGGCAGCTAATCAGTGATTCTCTCTCATCATTGATGTTTCTATCTCTCCTTCTCCCTTCCTCTCTGAAAGCAATAAAAATACTTTTTAAAAAAAAGAAATAGCATGCAAAACTTACCTGCTTCTCAAAGAGATTTGTGATCTGCAAATATGTAGAAACACTTGCTAAAGGAAACATGGCAATAGAAAGGGAGACTTGAAAATTAGGTGAGGTGATGGATCGCTCAAGTGTGCCAGCAAGGAGGGGTCAGGTGGGAGCCAGAACTCAAATTAAATTACTATTCCTGTTGGGAAGAGGACAGTTTGTATATATTTCTGCTGAGACAGGGGAAAGATGTGAACTCCAGGGCAGGTGCAAGCACCTTTGAGGGTAAGGTGGCAGGGAACTGTGAGCATTCCGTTGTTCTCTATTTTGCTCTTGGTCCATCTTGGCTTGGCATCAGGATAAAAGCTCTTACTATTGATAGCTGGTCAAGAGAGGGCCATAATCTGTTCTCTTTCTTAGGGTTTCTGCCTCCATGATTGCTTCTGACTGATGTGCATTGTCACATGCACCAGACATGCAGGGTGAATTCAAACTGGAGCTGCCCCCTGCCCTGCCTCTAAGACAGGTCACTCATTACTCTTTGTAAGTGCAACTGACAGGCGTGAACAATTAATCACACTCTCCCTCTCCTAAAGGTAAGCTACATCCAGGGCTTTCAGCTGGTTTGGGGCTCCTTATGTTGGAGTCTCCTGGGGATTTCAAGAGAGTAGGTTCTTATGTGGGTGGATATTTATTGGAGTTAATTCATTTACAGTGAATAACCTTTGTTTCTTAAATGATCTTGAGCCAGAATGAAGGGAAAAGGTGGCCTCTGGGCCGGGGGCTTAGGATCTGAAATCTGAACTTCTCATGGAATGATCACAGCACAGTCTTGTAGATTTCCCATGCCTTAATTTTACCATTTGCAAAAGCAAATAATATTTCCCCCCTATGTTAATGGGGGACACTGGGTCTGCTGACATTTCTGAGTGGTACTGTGGGAACAGACTCTTGAACACCTTTTGTTAAAGAGAGAGCTGGAAACCCTTATAAGGGATCTGAATGTTCTACAAATTGCAATTGTGAAAGAACTGGTTTCTGAAAGAAAAGCTTAGTGACGGACTAGAAAATCTTACTCATGGACAACACTTGTATAGCAGGGGGAG